GATTATTCCACGTATAGTCGAGTTACTAGAGCCTCTTGCAATAGAGTCTACGACGATGCCAGTGCTCGAAGATAGTGACGAAGAAGTATTAGATGTTCCACCACTATCCGATTGGAAAGAGAGAACTAGCAAAGGTTATGAGATTTTCGTCGTAGATTATACTTCCGAACAAGTCTTAAAGGGGTATAGCTTCGATATTAGCTCAAGCCGTAGGGAAGCTGTATCTCGAATAAGTAATGCATTGCACTAAGCTGCATTAATTGCCGAGGGTAAAGAGTACCACGTAGCAACAGTTCTGGGGAAACGTATCGTCAACACAGATCCTAAATTTCTTTTTAGAACAATCGAGACTTGTCAGACGTTAGCTATTGGGACTAAGAAGGGCATAGAGAACTGGAATTCCACTTTAAACAAGGCTGCGCCATCTTTACTGTCGTACCCATCGACTATTACCATCTAGCAGGCTACTAGTCAAGCTCTAGAGAAGACATCCACGATGGCCAGGAAACGGATGCCAGCCTTCAATAACGAGACAACGACGACTGACGGTTACGCGAGAAAAATAGCTAAGACAAAAAAATCGCAACAGCGTCTTATTGCCGCTCCGCCATCAACATCTGAGCAAGAACAAAGCTAAACCCTAGCCATGGCGTCATGACGTACCGTGACAGTGGTTGCCTAATCCAAGATTACTGCATTACTCTTGTGAGTTATTTTAATAGAGCGTTGTTTTGCATACAGCTGCATATAGTGAAGTCAAGTGTCTGGCGATACAATACTATAGCGCGCGGAGGGGGGTTTTAGTTACGTAGAAGTCGCTATATTGCACTAAAATATTGTTGTAGTTATGTTAACAAAGTGTCTGTGCAGTGTTAATAAGCTAACGCAGTGTCTGTGCGCTGTTTAACTTTAATATAGCGACATCTACGTGACCAAAACCCTCCTTCTGGGCCGTACGGTACAGTTACAGTGTTGTTCATGCGTCTTATTACTAGCAGGTCCATTATATCAGTAGAGATGTGTTGTAATATTTAATTAACATACATTGTTAAATCTCGTGCTCTCATCCTCTACACGCAGGGTGTGCGCTTCGGCCGTACTTACAAAGTAGATTTGGCTGTGCAATGGGCATGTATGTTATAAATAGAGCTTTCTGGCGCACTTTCTACACAGCACTACTGTTCTACCCCTAAGTTCATCTTCGACGGAAGTATTATGTTTCTAGGCAACGGGCTAGATGTAGATGTTCGACATAGTATAGGTCAAGGCGGGGTCGTGGGGAATAACCACACTTCACCTAGCGGCTGACCCGTCATCGTGTCCCGCGTATCTATCAATCCCACATGCCCTCCTGTAACTCTATCTCTACTATCGGCAGTATAATCGTGTATGTAAGGTGGAGGTGAGGAGGAAGTCGCGTTGCTGACGATCTGTACGTGGCCGCAGGAGAGACCATCTACGAGACTTTAATAGTGGGCTGGCCTTTTAATAAATAGATGCTGTCTCTTAACCTAATACAGTTAGTGTGGTTTTTCGAACCCTAATTATAGACATACATAGTCTTCGACAAACAGTGGCCAGTTTTGTCCTCTTTCTTCGGTGGTAAAGACAAGAGGTGTGATCCCAGGTTTTTCCACAACAATAGAGATACGGATTCTGTTATCGATCTGGTGGAGCTCTGCTGCCTTTTTGAAGATGCCTGTACACCGAGTATTAAATGATCTTGAGAGATTCTAGGGCGGTGCGCGTGGCATCTTGCTTTAGTAGTCGACAGATTTTAGATTCGGATTACTGGAGGTTCTAGACAAGCGATATGTGGAGGTTTCTAAGTGCTGATTACTGTCTTGACCATCGCGTAGATAAGGTGTTGGGGCGTGAATCACCTGACTACAGCGCGTTTACGGGGCACAGTTTTGGTTATTTGCAGAGAGGCGCAGACAGCAGATTGAAACGCGCTAGTGGCACAACTAGCGGCTATACTTGTCATCATCAAGATAACAACGTACTAAGGGTTAGCGGCTAATGTGTGGCTTATACCTACTAAACCGTTGTGGTGAAGCCAGAAAAGGGCACGTAGAACGGAACGCCTGCTGTCGAGAACGTCGCTATACTAGGTGCTGTTCCCAGGCTCGGTAAACCCAGTGTCTCTATCCAGTATCCGTAATCTTGTCTTTCGCATTCTTACATCACATAAAGCTATTAGCCTTGAGACAGAAGGCATTACTCTACCAGGCCAAGAAAGGTACCTAAACAACAATGCAAGTCATTATCGTGTACCTAATCGCGTACGGCTCGGCGGTAGGACTTCTACTTAGTTAGAGGCTATCGCAGTATCTCACCACGCAAGCCCGGAAGCGCGTCTTCTCGACTTTCACAAAATAGGCGGTGTATAGTGTCGTTACTCGTAGGCTTAATGGTAGCTCCAACGTTACAATCGTTGCTGGATTCGTCATTTTGTTACTCGTCGTTGCAAACATTGTCAGATCCACTGTATTCATCCAAACTCGGACTAAGCTATCGCTGCGTTTAGCAAAGCTAAGCGTTACTAACTTAGCCATACTGTACCTTGGTAGGAGGTCTAACATCCTGCTAGATAAGGTTTTTCGGCTGTTCTATACTGAACAGCAATTAATGCATTGGTGGATCAGACGTATCACCGTAATTGAAGGACTGATTTATGGTGTATTCGAGATCTCGCAGTTACGATCAGCTATAAAACCTATCAATCTCTCGGTACGTTTTTCTTCTAAGCTGGTTTGCGGAGTTTGAGCTAACACTACACGCAGCTCTTCGTTGTGTCGAGCACTATCGCAGCTACCTCTATAGTATTTGTTCGGCGCAGGATGCACGAGCTATTTGCTAAAACACATTCGACTCTTGCAGTTAGGATTATAGTCCTGCTCTTGCTTCATGTACGGGTTCTCAACACTTATATGCTTGTGTGCATCTCTATCGCAGCCTCGATATTTGTGTTGCAAAAGACGACTTGGCTTTTGCATTTCATCTATCGCAATTTCGGGTCTGGTCCAACCACTCGAGCGACTATAACGCCCGGAGAGATCTCAACGATCGAACTCAATACGAAGCGTCCTTGGGGCGTAGTACCTGGGCAGTTCATCTACCTCTCTTTACCTCGGCTTCGCAGGTTTGGTCTCGGATTTTAGGAGTCTTATCTATTCATAATAGCTTGGGTTCCTGAACAAGAGAAAGGTCAGGCGTCAACAATAATACTACTGGTCTAAGGTCATCGAGGATTTACGCGCATACTTAAGAATGCTAATACAGAGATTTCTGCTCTAATTGATGGCCCTTACGGTAGGTTGGATGCTAAATCTTTTACTAAACACGACAAGATTTTACTTATGTTAGATAGCATCGGCATAGCAGCTTATTTGTATGCAGCTTAGTACTTACTTCGTTCTTACGACCAGAAGACTGCACGTGTTCGACGGCTAACACTAGTATAGGTCGTTGGCTCCCAAGGTATATTCTTATGCTAAACGAGTTACATATCTTAGCTAAGCAGAATTTAGAATAGATGCGTGTAATAGAAGAATACCTATTCTCTCTACATAACATAGACTAAGAGAGAAAGATTCTCACTATTTTTTGCTATCTTCCTAATTAGTCTGCAAGCCTATCTACCCGCAAAGCGGTTACAGATAGACCTCAAGGGCCTAGAATTATGTCACTAGTAGACAAGCTTAATATAACTTAGTTCCTGGATAAGGAGTAGGGTGCTAAAGCAGGTAACATGCTTATATTAGGTAAGAACTAGGAGATCTAGCAACCTTTAGAGCTAACGTTTGTAGTCTGTAGAAGTCCTATGTTTGAGCAGCGCGCAAGGAAGGTCATCAGATTAAGTTCACATGAAATCGATTTCAGAGGTAGCGTCTTCTAGCCTAGCAATTCTTAGCCAGGATTTTAGAAGTGTTAAAGGAGGAAAGATCTTCACATGTCAATACATACCTTAGATAAGTCTAATAATAGACCATTCGTGAATGCTCGGCGCTAAGCTGGCATATAAAGGTTGGCCGTGGTCGTAAACTCCACCGTCGACAGCACATCAATCTTTGACAACTGACTCTGGATAACATGGAGAAGGCTGACCAAGTATGTACTTTCCTGACATCTCTAATGATGTATGCTGATGTGACTGCAAGCTCAGCTGGTGCGAGAGCTGCAACGCACTCGCAGCTTGTTTGCGCACCCTCTCGACCCAAATCACACAACAACAAAACGCTGCAGCCACTATAGAGGACAAACATACGCGAAGCATCGTCACTTTCCAGATATATCGCGCGATCATGCGGCGTGAGAGGAAAAAAACAATGCTAGCTCATAACGTCGATCCAAGCGTGCCGGGACGCACGGTGTAACGGGACAGTTCTCGCTTCGGAGCCTCGCTATCTCCCATTTGCAAGACTATCGACCTGCAGTTAGTGTGTTAATCTTCTACAGCTCTTTTTCTTTATAGGCCTCAAATTCCGGTACAAATTTTCGCGATGTCGCCCTTACTGTCGATCGTTTCGTTAACGCTGTTAATCGACCTTTCGTTAATACCCCCCTGTCTTTTCACGACGTGGACGATCTCTGCAAAGCTCGGAGGGTCTATTGGAAAGCAGAGTTCTCGAAGAATGTATTCCTAAGATTGAATGGGTATTCTAATCTATAAATGTACAGTCCGGCAGTTTCGCCGGTGAAAACGATGATCGCCAAAAGCGTTCTAACGCGTTAGGGCTCGCTAGTGTCTCTTAGCATGCCAGGGGCCCGCAGAAGCGTGCTCAGATATCTGTGTACCGTATCGTAACAAATTCGACGCTATGCCTATAGCACTCAGATACTAAAAATGGCTGTGGCGCATGCCAGCGGCTTTCTAGAAGCTTCTGCGGCCGGATGCTCAGCCTCGCTGTTGCGGCGCGACCTCGACGCCGTTCACGCTGTCTGGAGATGCCTCAACGGGTTCACTGCTGGCTCTAGTCTTCCGCTCGGTGGTTCTCATGGACAAGGCTAGTCAAGTGTTGGCAAAGGGTCTTCCACCTACCGTGCCCACTTCTTATCGTGCTCTTGCAGACCATGGCGAGGTTCCTCGCTCTACCCTTCATGCCCGTGCCCAGGGCCGCCGCTCGATAGAAGAGAAGGCCCAGAGCCAACAGTATCTCAGCCCGTGGGAAGAGGACGCGCTTGTCAAGTTTCTCCTACAGATGTCTGATCTAGGGCAGCCCGTGCGGATCAAGTTCATACCCCTCCTCGCCTTCTGCGTTGCCCGCAAGCGATCCGAGCGAGCCCGACCACTGAAGCCACCGAACAAGAACTGGGCGCGCGCCTTCGAGAAACGCCATCCAGACACGCAAGCGCGAAGGGTCACAGCACTAGACTGGAACCGCCATGAGAAGAACACGTATTGGAAGATATCCCACTGGTTTGAGGTGATAGGAAGGCTGCTGCGAGATCCAGCTATCTTAGCAGAGAACGTGTACAACATGGATGAAACTGGCGTGATGTTGTCGATGCTCGGCTCGGCCAAAGTGCTGGTAGGTAAGAACGACATGCGAAGCTATAGAGGCGCACGTGTGAAGCGCAAGATGGTCACCGCGATCGAGTGCATCAGCGCCGACGGTAGGTATCTGAACCCTCTGATCATATGGCCTGCGACCACGCACCGAAGCAACTGGACTACTTTTCCCACCCCTGGATGGCAGTATGCGTGCACTGCTACCGGCTACACTGACTCTTATGTTAGCCTACAGTGGCTGAAGCGGATCTTTGGTCCTGAGACCAAGGAGCGAGCGAACAACAAGCCAAGAGTGCTCATTTGCGATGGCTTTGGTACGCATGAGACGCTAGAGATTCTCGAGTATTGCTTTGCAAACAACATTGTGCTATGTCGACTTCCATCTCACACTTCTCACAAGCTGCAGCCGTGCGATGTCGCTGTCTTTGCTCCGCTAAAAGCAGCCTATCGCGAACAGGTCGAACGACTTGAGCGGGGAGGTGTCAACACGATCGGCAAGGAGCATTTTACTTCTCTGTTCAGCCCTGCACGAGCGAAGGCCTTTACGGCTAAGAACATCAAGGCCGGCTTCGCGGCAAGTGGCTTGTTTCCGTTCAACCCAGACAGAGTGCTTGACTCTATGCCCAAGCCAGCCGTAGGCCACTTCACCGTATCGACAGCTGATAAAGTCATCGTTGAGACGAGTTCCCAAGAGCAAATCCCCCCAACGCCCGTGACACTAGTGTCAGCAGAAGGTCTGATGTCCCTGCAGAATCTGATCATCGAGCAGGATGCGCATGCTCTCGACGCAAAGAGCAAGCAAAGCCTGCAGCGACATCTCCGCAAGTTTTCGAAAGCGGCCCAACTATCCTTTGCCAAGGGGGCCCTTCAGCAGAACCACATCCGACTCCTGCTGAAGGTCAACGACGAAGCCAAGGTGCGACGATCAACGAAGTCGCTGGTGCTGGGAACGGCCAAGGTCATGGGCTACGAGGAGCTCCGAGATGCACGTGCGAAGCGTGCTGAAACGGAGGCTTCTGAGGCGACTAAAGCTAAGGGGAAACGGGGTCAAAAGCGAACGAAAGCATCGTCAGAGGCAGACGCAACACAGCCAAAGCGAAAAATAGCGCGAGCGAGAGAACGGCTGGCGCCACCGCAGGCCTCGGTACCGTCATCCAGTGTCCCTGTGGCGCGCATGTACTAGAGAACACACTCGGGCCTCGCGCTGAATCATTTGTATGCTGAACTGGGCATTGTGTGGATAGCATAGAATAAAAGGTTATAGTCATGACCGATGCAGCGCAGACGTTCATAAAGCGAGCTTGCGTCATTTAGTGATTAGTGCGATTACTTCGTCGCTAGAGCACTGGCAAGCTCGCACGTATAGCGCGCTTGGGTTCACCTTTTCCGTCCTGTATCAGTACAGGCCAGGCAACATCAACGCGCTTCGGGTCTTTGCTACCCTGCTAAGCTCGCAGCGCCAGAGACGCGTTCAACATGGCTGCAGCTGCTCCACAGCCTTGCGGCTGGCGTTCTGCATGCGCGCGCGAAGCCACAATCACCCCGCCTAAGGCCTTGTGCGATGTCGTCGCCAGACCAAGAAAACAACACAGCGCGCTCGACTCAGCTCGCGCATTTAGGAACGCTGTTCTATCATCAAGACCTCTAGAACCGCACGGCTAACCATTGCTCTCCTCTTACGCTGACCTCTACAGCGCACGGCACGGCCATCCCGCCCTCGTCCTGATTACTAGGCTGCCACATCGAACCTCTCGCGTCTCATTTCCACCGCGCGCCCACCACACACCTGCACGCGTCGATGCATCTCCTTAAGTACGACGAAGATGGCCGCCTTACGATCCCTAGCTTTGAAGATGGCGCGATACCGCCTTATGCAATACTATCACACACCTGGGGGGCAGATGCGGAGGAAGTCACTTTCGCGGACCTTGCAGAAGGCGGAGGCGGCAAGCACAAGCCTGGCTACAAGAAGATTCGCTTCTGCGGAGCGCAAGCACAGCAAGATGGACTGCAGTACTTCTGGGTCGACACATGCTGCATCGACAAGTCGGATCAGGCTGAGCTCTCTTTGTCGATCCGGTCCATGTTTCGCTGGTACCAAAACGCGACGAAGTGCTACGTATACCTATCAGACGTATCGGCAAAGAAGAGGAAACTCGACGATATGCTTACCCAGTCCACTTGGGAGCCAACCTTTAGGTCGAGTCGATGGTTCACGCGTGGCTGGACACTCCAAGAGCTTCTTGCCCCTAGCACAGTCGAGTTCTTCTCTCAAGAGTGGAAAAAGCTTGGTAATAAGATATCGCTAAAGTCAGTAATTAGAAAGATCACTGGTATCCCACACGAAGCGCTCGACGGAGCTCCTCTTTCCCATTTCAGCGTTGACGAGCGGCTGCGGTGGAAAGGTGACAGGAAGACGAAACGCGAAGAAGATGCATGGTACTCGTTAGCGGGCATTTTCGATGTCGAGATAGCGCCAGCTTACAGCGAAGGGGCGGCCAGCGCATTTAAACGTCTAAAGGACGAGATCGACAAGCTCGAAGTATGCATTCGAGACATACGTCACACAGATCCGCGTCACGACAAGAAGCGCATTGAAGATACAAAAGGAGGATTGCTAGCAGACTCCTACCGCTGGGTTCTTGACAACACTACCTTCCAGCAATGGCAACAGGACCCGAACAGCCGACTGCTATGGGTAAAAGGGGATCCCGGTAAAGGCAAGACGATGCTGCTCTGCGGCCTTATCGACAAGCTGCAAAGTCCAATGTCTCAAACTGAGCTTTTGTCGTACTTTTTCTGCCAAGCAACTGACTCGCGCATCAACAGCGCTACGGGCGTAGTACGAGGACTGTTGTATATGCTCGTGGATCAGCAACCATCACTTATGTCGCATATCCGTGGAAAGTACGATCATGCAGGTAAGGCCTTGTTCGAGGATGCGAATGCCTGGGTAGCGCTGTCAGATATCTTCACAAGCGTGACGCAGGACAAGGGGCTAAAGAGAACGTATCTTGTCGTTGATGCTCTCGACGAGTGCGTGGTGGACCTGCCTAAGCTTCTTGATCTTATCGTCCTTACTAGCACATTGTCTGCTCGTATAAAGTGGTTGGTGTCAAGTCGAAACGAAAATCACATCGAGGAGAAGCTCAAGTCAGTCGGTGATAAAGCCAAGCTAAGTCTAGAGCTTAAGCAGAACGCGGAACAGGTGGCTCGAGCTGTAGATGCATACATCGACCATAAGTTGTCTTGTCTTGAGTCACTCGGAGAAGAGGATCAGCGAAAGCAAGTGCGAGATGAGTTGCACCGGAAGGCGAACGGCACCTTTCTTTGGGTGGCTTTGGTGATGCAGGAGCTTGAGAAGCCCGAGAGCTGGGACCCACTAGCTGTAGTTGAGGAGGCACCAGCGGGCTTACATCAGCTGTACGATCGCATGATGCAGCAGATCCAGCGGCTGTCAGCAAGGAATGTGAAGATCTGCCAGTCTCTACTCTGTATCACGGCTGTCGTATACCGTCCGCTCTACCTTGCTGAGATGGGCAGCCTGTGCAGGTCGGCAGGTCGAGCTACAATGGCAGCGGAGACTGTAAGAAAGATTATAACCATGTGCGGATCGTTTCTTACCGTTCGCGACGAGCAAGTCTACCTTGTTCATCAGTCAGCCAAGGACTATCTGAGCGACAAGATGCAATCTGCAGCCCTTCCGTCCGAAAACGAGGTGCATTATACCCTGTTTGCCCAGTCACTCGAGCTGCTGTCTAGCAGATTGAAACGCGACATGTACGGTTTGGTGGAGCCAGGCTGCTCGATCGACGAGGTCAGAGTACCCGATTGTGATCTGCTAGCGACCGCGCGCTACTCGTGCGTCTATTGGGTTGATCATTTTTGCGAGTCGAAGCCTAAGTCTTCAGGGAGCAGTATTAGTAGCCCGCAAACCGCAGACGTTGTCGAAGAGTTTCTAAGGAAGAAGTATCTCTACTGGCTAGAGGGGCTTAGTCTGTGTCACAGCGTAGGGAGGGGCGTCGTCTCGATAGAAAAACTGTGGTCGCTGGTGCAGGTGTGTCGCACAAGATTTGCACGCCTTTAATTTGACCTTAATGCTGACGCTAGCAGGAGATGTGCGACCAAGACAGACTTGCTGAGCTTGTTCAAGACGCACGGCGGTTTATCATGTACCACAAAGGCGCAATCAAGAGCTACCCTCTTCAGACCTATGCATCCGCACTGCTGTTCAGCCCGACAGGTAGTCTTGTCAGACAGCTGTTCAAGCACGAAGAGCCAGAAGCAATCAGCATTAGGCCAACTTTAAGCGAGGAGTGGAGCGCGTGTCTCCAGACGCTTGAGGGCCATAGCAGTGAAGTCAGCTCGGTGGCCTTCTCGCACGACTCGACGCGGCTGGCGTCGGCGTCCCACGACAGCACCGTCAAGATGTGGGATGTGAGCACCGGCGCGTGTGTGCAGACGCTTGAGGGCCATAGCGGTGCTGTCAGCTTAGTGGCCTTCTCGCACGACTCGACGCGGCTGGCCTCAGCGTCCTGGGACAACACCGTCAAGATGTGGGATGTGAGCACCGGCGCGTGTGTGCAGACGCTTGAGGGCCATAGCGGTGCTGTCACCTCGGTGGCCTTCTCGCACGACTCGACGCGGCTGGCGTCGGCGTCCCACGACAGCACCGTCAAGATGTGGGATGCGAGCACCGGCGCGTGTCTGCACACGCTCGAGGGCCATGGCAGTACTGTTATGTCGGTGGCCTTCTCGCACGACTCGACGCGGCTGGCGTCGGCGTCCCACGACAGCACCGTCAAGATGTGGGATGCGAGCACCGGCGCGTGTCTGCACACGCTTGAGGGCCATAGCAGTGCTGTCACCTCGGTGGCCTTCTCGCACGACTCGACGCGGCTGGCGTCGGCGTCCCACAACAGGACCGTCAAGATGTGGGATGCGAGCACCGGCGCGTGTCTGCAGACACTCGAAGGCCATAGCGATTATGTCACCTCAGTGGCCTTCTCGCACGACTCGACGCGGCTGGCCTTAGCGTCTAGCGACAGGACCGTCAAGGTGTGGGATGCGAGCACCGGCGCGTGTGTGCAGACGCTTAAGGGCCATAGCAATGCTGTCACCTCGGTGGCCTTCTCGCACGACTCGACGCGGCTGGCCTCAGCGTCCTGGGACAACACCGTCAAGATGTGGGATGTGAGCACCGGCGCGTGTGTGCAGACGCTTGAGGGCCATAGCGGTGCTGTCAGCTTAGTGGCCTTCTCGCGTGACTCGACCCGGCTGGCCTCGGCGTCCTACGACAAGACCATCAAGGTCTGGGATGCGAGCACCGGCGCGTGTCTGCACACGCTCGAGGGCCATAGCCATTTTGTCAGCTCGGTGGCCTTCTCGCACGACTCGACCCGGCTGGCCTCAGCATCCTACGACAAGACCGTCAAGATATGGGATGCGAGCACCGGCGCGTGTCTGCAGACGCTCGAGGGCCATAGCCGTGAAGTCAGGTCAGTGGCCTTCTCACACGATTCAACCCGGCTGGCGTCGGCGTCCTACGACAGCACCGTCAAGATGTGGGATGCGAGCACCGGCGCGTGTCTGCAGACGCTCGAGGGCCATAGCAGTCTTGTCAGCTCGGTGGCCTTCTCGCACGACTCGACCCGGCTGGCCTCGGCGTCCTACGACAAGACCGTCAAGATGTGGGATGCGAGCACCAGCGCGTGTCTGCACACGCTCGACGTTGGCAAGGCTCTCTTCCATTTATCGTTCAATTGCAACAGTTCTCGCCTCCTTACTAGAATCAGGTCTATCGATACTCAGAGCTTAGATACATCTAGCATAACAGATCTCAAAGAACCTGCGCGTCCCTTGTACGTAGGCACTAGCGTTAGCTCAGACAGGATATAGATTCAGCATGCTGGTAATAACATGCTATAGGTGCCGTCAGAGTATCGACCATCGCACTCGTCTGTGAGTGGGACTATAGTTAGCGTAGGTGTCAGGTCTAGAAGAGTATAGATCTGTAGTATAGACCTTTAGGTCAGTTGTATGTGTTTGTCGCATACATGCAAAGACCTAGCCTTCTTTCCTTTATCTCTTTCTTCTTAGTCTACTCTATAACAGAGAGGGACAGGGATGCACATGAATAAATAGTCTTTGTATTAGCGCTAAGAAGCTTCTAGAGCTGCTACAGAGGGCAGCTGTTGTTACGTTACGTTACTTAATAAATCTAGGATAGTTCTTGCTGTTTCTTAGCTTCTTCTACTAGAGAGAAGTTACGACTAACTATAACTTAGATAGATAATAGGGCCTTACAGTAGAGCATGCTGACTTGCACGCTTCTAGAAGCTGCTAGCACGCGCTACAGCTATTTCTAGCAGCAAAGTGCTATAGGAATAGCGCCGAATTTGTTACGATAGCATACGGCGATATCTAAGCACGCTACTGCAAGCTACTGCATGCTAAGTGCCGCTAACAGCGCACGTCCTAAGGGTCGCGTTTTAACAATTCTGCTGTCTGCGCAGAGAAACTGCTAGGATGTGCCTATATTACCCTAAGTTAACCTTCTTAGACTGCAGTCTTAATCTTTGCTATCTTAGCTTCTTTTTAAGCCTACTAAGATCTTTGCAGATATATACTGTCGCGAACAAACAGGGGAGTGTTAGAGGAGAGTTAGGAACAACGTTAACAGAATTAGCGACAGTACAGTTCACTACGCGCTTTTCGGCGTTAGAGACTAATGTGTTAGGAGAACAAGAGCTGCAGAATAGATGCGTATAGCGCTTATCTATATACAAGTGCGCTACGAGCAACCCGAAGGCCCGGAAGTGAATGTGTCCTGTTACACCATGCGTCCCGGCACGCTTAGATTGACATTACGAAACTTGAACGCAGAGCGGCTCAACTAGAGGCGAATGCAGCTAACCTCAGCAACACTATCGATACCCTATTAGCTAATATTCAAGGCAAGGATAAGGCGATTACACAGCTTTCAGACACAGTAAGGAAGAAAGAAAAGATAATACATGCTATACAGTGTGCTTCTGCGCTTATTCAATTGTATAATAGCTAAACCAATCTAAACAAACCCTCATAAGAACCAAATACGTCTTTCTTAATAAACATGTGCTTTCTAGAACCCCACGCACACATGTAGATCTTAGCATTAGATAAGGCTAGTGATGTTTACGCCATATCCCCCATGTCCTGCGCTGTGCCGTCTTACAGTGCCTGCATGCCGCGTACCGAAACGCTAATCAGAGCTGCATTTCCTGCCGGCACTTTTACGGGCATAGCGCCCCGCTCGTCTAAAATCTACACAACACCGCAGGTTACCCGAAGCAGGATCGTGCATACGATCCCGTAAGGCATACTAATTCAAGGCGCTTATCCCTCTGCCCCGTAAGGTATGCTCGGTCTTGTTGTTGGTAGTCCTGAAGCAGGATTAGGCCCTGCGCACATACATCCCGTACGGCATACTGATTTCTCGCTTAAGGCGCTTGTCGGGTTCTTTATCCCGCAAGGTATGCTAGATCTTGTTGTTGGTAGTCCTGAAGCAGGATTAGGCCCTGCGCACATACATCCCGTACGGCATACTGATTTCTCGCTCAAGGCGCTTGTCGGGTTCTTTATCCCGCAAGGTATGCTAGATCTTGTTGTTGGTAGTCCTGAAGCAGGATTAGGCCCTGCGCACATACATCCCGTACGGCATACTGATTTCTCGCTCAAGGCGCTTGTCGGGTTCTTTACCCCGTAAGGTATGCTGAATTTGGTGCTGATTAGCCGCCCAGGCTGTTTGTCCCGGCTTGCTGGATCTGCCTTGCGCACATGTGTCCCGCACGGTTTGCACGCCCATAAGGTTTTCAATCCCGCAGGGGACGGTACAGAACAGTATTAGTCAACTGTGCCGCATTCTCACCACGCCCGGCTTTTTGTCCCGCAGGGGACGCCGCGTGTAGTCTGCAAACTTTGCGGGGTACTTGCTTACGCACCCATAAGGTTTTCAATCCCGCAGGGGATAGTGCGGAAACAGTATTAGTTAACTGTGCCGCAACACGCCCATCAGGCTTTCTGTCCCGTAAGGGACGTCGCATACAACCCGCTAGTTGTTAGCTAGCTATGCCGCTTCAGCAGGCTTTCTGTCAGGGGGAGCCGTTTGTAGTGTCACATATCAGCAACTTCAACACGCCTATCAGGCCTTCTGTCTCGCAGGGTATCCAGCATAGGGCGGAAGAGCTCGTCGTCTATAGGTCAACAGTGGAGGTAGGAAAATAGTGATAGTTTCCCATATTTCTTAATGCATAGGGTAGCGTAGGCTTAGAGTAATAGCACGGCATGCTAGGTGGCAGGCTTTAGAAGAGAATTAGATTTACACAGTAAAACATTCGCAAGCTCTTGAGCGCCCTTTAGGGGACGCTCGCATACTTAGGTATATTTGTACAATCTATCAGATCCGCTCTACATACTGTAAAATCTATAAGGAGAGTACTCTAAGCGGTAGGCATAGCTCATAGGCTATCTCTCTGTATAACATAACATATTAATAGTTTGCCTAAAAGAATAGCGTCCTTTTAATGTCCCTTAACGTGTACAGCTAATTGAGTTCAAGGCTATTATAATGCACCTCTTAATAGACTTTGCTCTAGTAGCTCCTACTCTTTAATCTGATAATTGTGAGCGTATGTCTTAGATCCTTCTCTTCGATCGTTAAGAGACTATAAAGGCCTGTCTTAACTTCTTCTAAGACAGTAGTGCGTAGCGTGATACTCTCTATAGTCTTTGCTAAAATAATGCTATCCTTTAAGACTTGCCTAAACAAAGCCTCTTAGCGTTTGCGGAGAAATCGACAATGCGGGGCGGGTAGTGGCGGACCTAATTGTAGCAGTTCGGACTGCATCGTAGCGACGCTAGCCGTCCTTCTAGTAGCGGTGGGCGTGGATACAAGAGAGCTTAGTGTCGTAGAGGAACTTGGCAGCAGTTTATTCAAAACATCACTAGTTGGCAAAGGGGCATATCTTACTTGTAACATAGAGGATGTCACAGCTAACTGTTCTTCTGTTGCTGTAGTTGCGACATAGAATAGAGAGTTTAGGGCTATGCTAGCCCTCAGCGTATCACTATTAGTTGATTCGTTATCTTCTACTAGGTCTACAACAATCGATGCCTTTATAGTTAGCTTAGATGCGCTGTGCGACATATTGCAAGTAAACAGTGCTGCTCGATCTGTTAGTGTATATCTTTTAGTCGTTAGTATTTGTACTATAGGAACGGGGTGTCTTGTGCCTAGAAGAACAGCGCCAGTTTATTATAACAAGGCGACAAAGTAGATAGATAACGCGTGAATAATAGTCTAAGCTAAGGAAGAGACATAACAAGAGCGATTATAGTTTTATTTTAGGATAGACATAACTAGGTCTTAATGCGCAATGTAGCTAGCAGTGCGAATTTAGTGCAGGTGGTTTGCAGGCGGTTTGCGCGATGCAGATCTGCGTTTAGCTAAGGTAGCGCGGTAATGTTAGGAAACAAGGGTACGTAGGTACCTATGACCACGCCTAACTAAGCGCCTACGTTGTACAAGATTAGCGCGGTGAGATTAGAAACAAGACCACATAATTTAAGCAACAATAGTCGAACACAAGCTAACGGGAGCAAAAGAAGTGATATTGCTTTCTATTATTTGCCAGAACACTAACAAGCAGGGATAACGGTTAGTGCTAAGGGCGATAAATTCGGCTGTCCACCTGCTCTAGAAGCGCCCTGACAGCCAGATACTGACCGGGGACCTCCACGCGAATAAGGCACCCATCTTCCCTCCACGTGCTGTAGACTCGTCCGTCCTCTCGTACCTTCAAGTCGCGGATAACAAGATCCTCTAGTAGACAGCCACGGCGGCAGTAGGGTGGCTTGCGATTGTATAGAAGTAGTTCGCATGTAGCGCATCGGTCGGCATGACTCTTAAGCAAGTTCATGCGGAGGAATTCGAGTCTTGTAGGCTTTCTCGATATAGATTTAACAACAGGCTCTGCCCAGCGAACATGCGGATAATAGTATGTCAGCATTGTTTGATCCTTGTGTATTCGATAATAGCTTTGCTAAACGTATATATATTCTTTATAGATTACTATAAAAGCTTGACTACGCCTAACAAGTTATATAAAGCAGAGATTAGCTTTTAGTACCTGGCTACTGCGTCTGGTTTTAGTCTGCCACCCCTATGTCGTCTCTAATTTTAGGTTTCGGTTCTCTAGAGCATGGCAGTTCTAAAGGATTATTACTAGCGTTAAGGAACGCGACTACTTGCTCCACCCAGCCTCTGATGGCGTCTACGTCCTTTCGTAGGCTTTCGGCTGCTTTAGAAGCCTGTGCCACCTTACTGCTCTACTGTTAGCTAGGCTTATGGTGCAGCGCTGAAAACTTACTTGTTAAGGTTCTGTATTCTTGTCTGGTAATTATTCTTGAGTTGCTAGACGGCTATAATGACTTTGTCAAGATCACCGCGAATCGCATTAAAGCTATAAACTATGTCTCCTACAGCATTACTGCTAGGTGTGTGCTCGTGAGGTTGCATTTGTGCGACTTGTACTCGAGATGTAGGTTGCTCTAGATAGTAAATCGGCTGTGGGAGATAGACTTTAGGGAGAAACAGAGGTTGAGCAGCAAAGATGTCTAGGTTCGTGCTAAGAGCCGTAGGATCGTGTCCGGCGTTTGGCTGCAGAAAGAAAGGACTAGTAGTTAGGTTAAAACTAAACAGACTGTCCTAATCCTCGCTTTAAGAAGTTGTCTAGGGAGATTTTAACAATAACATTATAAGGTTTAGATGTGCAACTTAGGAATAGGCTTAGTAGATTTATTTGAATTTAGACTACTCTGCTACCTGCGTTACTTTGTCCTACATATAGACCTTAGACTAAAGGCTTAGCAGTGTCGTTTAGCGCTTACATTTTCTAACAGTAACAAGCGATAACAATCTATGATTACACGCGGCCTTGAAACATACTAATCTAGCTCTACGCCACTCTTCTACTTAGCCGCTGCTGCACGCCACAGGGCGAAGCACTCAAGCGGCACCAACTCTAGAAACGGAATTAGGATACTATAACCTAGTTCGCGCTCGACATACTAATGCTGCTATAGTCAGCGTTGTGCAAATGCGTAGCGCTTAATACTTACGGGATTCTAGAGCTTAGCAATAGCTAGAACATAGAAATTAAACAAGTTGTCAAGAAAGTCTACTAATAACTTACAGCCACTCCACTGTTCTCCGTTGTTAAGCCTAAAGGTCTTGTTAGATCCTCGTAAACGTCGTACCTCTTCTAGATCTCGCAGCTTCTTCTTTAGTGCCCTATTCATACATTCGAGCACTACTAGGCCAAGGCACTCGAGATCATAGTTCGCGGTATGCTCAGTCGTAGCGAATAAAAAATTGTCAAAATCGGCTAATACAGGCTTTCCGCTGCTACAGAATCGTATAGTACTAATGGAGATAGCGTTGTGTATCATTCCAATTTTTGCTATGTGCTGTATTGCGTAGAAGATCTAGACCATTAGCTACCTAGACACATACATTATCACAGTGCTAACTTACTGCACTTGCTATCACTCAGATGTGTAGATCTTCAAGGCATGTGTAAACATTAAGAACCTCTTCGAGGGTATATCTAGAGTACTCTAGTTAGAAAAATATTGCGTTCTTAGTTTCGAAGGATTGCTCAATAGTAGAGATGTGTGGGTGATCAGATAATTTCTTCAGCACCTCAAGCTGTCGACGACCGGTGTCTTTAGCTATTTCTCTTACCATCACCAGCTGTCGTTAATAGACGCATATCGACCGCACGTGCTTCCCCTGCACTAAGTCGCCCTGTCAGATCAAGGTTTCCTAAGGATTCTCAGGTAGTTCTCAATAGGTCAGAGAGCGCTGCCTGTCGTCCTCTATTGCTCGTTGTAGCAGTGCTACTTTCGTTAGTACTGTAAGTCGTTGCGATAGTCCTAGTTTTATAGGCACCTAGGGTCTTAAGTAGCGTTTAAACGCTTCTTCAACAGCCTTTAATACTATGTCGCATCGTTCAACTCACTAGAATTAGAACATCAGTTTTATTGTATAGTTTTGTCAGAACAAGTAACAGACTATTGTCGATACCAGAAGCTGTGTAAGGGCTCAAAGAAAACGTTACCGAATACAGGCGACAGAACCAGGGGTCAGGTGGCAGCATTCACCCAAGCGCAGATGCTGGGCACTAATAACTACCTTCCTACCTAGATACGTATGTCCATAAAAGGGTCAGATAAAGACTGTGTTCACACTATCTTCCATCATTCTCACTGTTTCACTTGCTCCTCAATCCATCAAATTAGTGATCATAGACGAAGTCAAAGCTACGTAGCCCACTTTACATCTATTGCGTTATTAACATCATAATGCAACCAATCGGCTTGCAGAACACTATCGTATGCTAACTTAGCCATTACTACTGCAAACACTAGAAAATCACGCCTCTCCTTAACTTCAACCAGACCTCTATCTGCAGCTATCGCAAATCCTAGAATAGGAGATCTAGAATTATAATCAAACACGTGGTGGGCTGTGTTTAGAGCTAGCTCGTCGCACAGAACTCAAAGCCCAGGTATGCAGGCTCAATCAGGAGCTCGCGCAATGGCAAGAGAGCAATCGCATAGCGTACGGCGCACTCGATGAACACAGGGCCGAGAATTCAAATCTCAAACTTGATGTCGAAGCTTTAACGGACGAGCTTCGCCACC